TTTGGATCACGACAAGTGCAAGCCGAGGACACATCAAAGAGCGGGGGGAGTCGTCCGATTGGATGACTCCAATTTCCACGTCGTGTTTGCTTTCTATCCGGGCGTGGGGGACAGATAGCGGGGATCGAGGCGTCTCGTTGCTCCCTATCCATGCAGTGTGACGGCACAGACAAAGCTGTAGACAGCCTGCTCTTTGTGTCTTTTGGGAATTGAGGAGGTTGCTGTTCTTTAATTAGCCCCACCGAATTAACGACGCGGCGAGAATAAGACGACTGGTGACAAGACCTGATTTTGGGAATTGTAGTTTCTCAAGTTCCTCGGTAATATGTTCGCCTCAGAGGTGGAGCGTTTCGAGACGTCGTTCTGTTCAAGTAGAATAATGGCGGTAGGAAAATGGTAAATAATGAAATTGCTCGCCAAGAATTCAATTTCGTGAGTTCTGGCTGTATCAACTCGATTTGAACCCCCTCCGGCTTATGGTCGTTGAATGCTCAAACATCAACCTGGACATGAGTGCTTCAGCCCTTGGAGTGACAGCGAACCCATCCTCAATTGTGACGAAAGCCGAGGAAAAAGCAACTTGACACAGGGGACGTGAAAAAAGCAATCAGTTTGTCGGCCGGATGCTGGCCTGATTCTGCGCTGATCATTGGTCCTCTCAAACGTTGACCGTTGGCCGGAACAGCCAACTCGCAGACCAGGCTCCGAGGACGTCTCACTGGAGAAGCAGATCGTAAGAACGGAGTCTTCGTACTCTTGCCTACCGGAACGGCAACGGCTGCCGAAGACGGGATTGCAAAGACCGAACGAGCCCCGGGTAAAAGCTGGGCCAATGCAGGTTGAACGGGGCCGTGCTGCCGCAGCCGGGAACTAACATGGTGCGGCATCAGGCTCGATACTTTGTTTCGGAAAGCAAGAAGCGCGAGAATCTCATGCGAGCGAGCCTCTTGCGGAGTCCGCCCCGGAAGACTGGGTCTGGCACGAGGCTGGTGAGACAGCGGCTCGGCAGAGGGACGGGTTGAGACATGACTGCTTGCGTTGTGCACGCTACTCTATGTCCGTAGCAGGTCGTTCCATGTGCGTACGGCCGAAACCGAAGATTGTGATACAAGCAATCTTCGAAGCCGTCATGGAAATGAGATAAGGGAACTCTTCTTACTTGCAGAGCCTGTCAGCCGCGTATATCGGGCGGTCAAACGCAACCACAGTCACAATAGCTTAATGACGTCGAAGCAACTGGTCCGGGCGTCTCGTCTCGTGATGTTGATGTGCTGCGGAAGCTATCTGGCGAGCACCAAGGCCGACCCTGTTTGCATGGCGGGCCGCGGTCGCCAGGTCGCGAGAATGGGCCGGATGAGCATATGCAGCTGTTGCAAGGGAGAGCAAGCATGATGAAAGTTTTTTTTCCCCCTTCCCTTTCGTGTACCCTCTGTCCCGATTCTCTTTACTGAATCAATAAAAATCCGACAACCAACCACCACCGAGAGAGGTTCGGGGGTGGCTCGGGCAAGGTGAAAACGGCGGTTTGGAGAAGAGAAGGAGGGGTCGAAAGGCCGAGCGGTGGTTGGAGAATGTGGGCGGTAGTCATTGGTGGGTACCGCCTGGATACCTCCGATTGGGCGAAACGGCCGGCGCCGAGTGGGGTGTCGTCCCGGTACTGCCTTAGCGGCTCCCAATCGTCATCCCATGTCTGGATTCTTCTGTACCTAGGTGATGCCTCAGGCGCAAGGAGATACCGGTAGAGTCCGCATAGAGTGGCAGACAAGCGCAAGGCACGAACTGTGTAAACGTGGACCTCCTGACCCCAGCCGTTCTGGCAGGCATCACGGCATCTAAAGGTTCGGTCAGCACCTTGCTGGGCGAGGGATCCGACTTGGTGATGAGAGTGAGAGCGGGCGGATGGTCTGTGAGGTGCATGCATTACTAGTGTCCATTGTGGGCAATCGGTGGGCATATTTTTGGGAGCCACATCTGAATTGCCCAGTAGGAATTCGGGTCAAGGGCCAGGTTTTCAGCAGTGGCATGAGCGGTGCGAGTCTGCTGCTGCGAGCGAATGGTCAGCATCGTCAGGCAGAGGTACGGATAGAGGTGGCAGGAGTCGCAGGACTGGTCGCAGGCACGAATTTTCTTCTCTCTTCTCCGGCACGTGCATGAACGGAAGCACACTTGTACGTCTCCAATATGCCGCCTGTACTGCGGGAGTTCGTACGCCGCCGGCTTCGGTTGCCTCAGATGCTTGTGACTCAAATACACCTTGCGGTGACTGAGACTTCGCTGTTGGTGATGTTTGATAACGCGACGTCTAATATACCGTCGGCATGAACTACTAAACCTAGGTCGGTAGCTTGGCGGCCAACGAGCTGACGGGACCAGGCACATAAGCTGGGGTAGCTGCCCTGAGTATCGGTAGAGAACCAGGGTCAGTAGTTTAGATCACATCATCAGGCAATTCATGAAGCGATTTGTGGTGAAGAGATGGTGGTTTGGAGGGACCAGACTGGCCTGGATCTCGGTCTAGGAAAGGGTTGATCTCTTGACTCTTCCAATCGTTGTCAATGGCATGTTTGCCCTGCTGTCCTAATTTGAGGTCCAGCTCCGTGTCCAGGCCCGGGACAGCTCTAGTTCCCTCGTCGTCTACTGACCACTAGTCGATTGGCCTCGACTAGGGCGGGTCGCAGACAGATACCAGACCGGGGCAAGCAAGCTATGGTCCGGACGGTTAAGCTTGAGCTGGATTTTTGCGATAGTGTGCGCTTGTAGCTGCAGCTGCCAGGTATGTCTGGCTGTCCGCAAAAAACTAGGCAGGCACGACGATTATGGCTCAACTTTCCAGTGGGTGGTCGCATGGACTCGGCCGGGGAGTGAAGCCGCTCGGCGACGGCAACAAGAAGGTAAACGCCTGGATGACCTAGTATGCCACTTGGAGTCACGAAATAAAAGCATCGTGCTCAGTGTCCAGCTTGTACGGTGTGCCGAATGAAATGCGTGAGGGCAAGAACCCCCCCTTGGCGAACATGTATCGAAAGAAATGGAAGAGACGCAGATGCAGATGCAAAGTCTGCCGTTGGGAAGCTGACCAAAATTGGACCAGGTATATTCGTATCGGTGTCGACCGTTCGGACGGGATAGCCTCCGCCACGACGGTGTACCCACCTCATTCGCGAGGAAAAGTACGAACAGTGGCATATGTCTGCCTCGGTCAACTAGGGTGAGACCAACTTTGTTTCTGTGTGCCACAATGATTCCGTGGTGACTTTTGAGGACAGCACTGGCTAAAATAGAACAAGATGAGTAAATCCAGGGCGAAGGACAAATAACTGTGGATATGTCACAATTTTCGTTAGTAAAGAAGTGGTGAACGATCATCAAAGATACCTACGGCGCCTTTAAAACTAAAGAAAAAAAGCTGCTCTCTGGCGTGTCTGGCCCGCGAGTGTAGCATGCGTGGGCGGGCGGGACTAAGCGGGAAGATGGGCTGCTGCGTCAGCGCGGGTTGTCAATTGGACCCAATGGAAGACCAGCCGGTTCGTTCTTGAGGACAGCCGCGCTAATGTTGGAAGGAGGAAACATGCAGCTCGCAACCCGCAGCTGCAATCGGAGCCCAAGCCGGCGTGGTGTCGTTGTAGTCCTGACCAGGCAAACGTCACCTTGCACAGCGCAGGGAACCCCGTGGGCCGTACCCGTAGCTTGACTCTCGAGAGCTTCTCTCCATTGACATGGTATCCGTAAGTCATGTAGAAAGGTCTCTGACCCCGGCGCATGGAGGGTAGGGCGGCAGTGGGCGGTTGGCTGTTGGCATGTGTCTCTGTATCCGCCGAGTCCTCGTCCTCGTCCTCATCCTCGTCCTTGCCCCCGTCATCCCTCGTCCACCACATACGTTTGCGAAAAGGGTAAGTGCATCCATCCGCTGCTGAGCCTCGCCGTCTCCTGTGTCGCGGGGCTTCCTCGCCCAGGGCCGGCGCGGCTGGGGCTCCATCTCCATAGCCGTCTGTGTTCCACAGCAACGTCCAGATTGAAGGCGGGCTCGCAGCCTCGCTCTTGATTCAAGAACCTAGTGGTAGGTAGGATTTGCGTACATGGAGCGTCCGCAGCGTAGAGACGCTCATTGTAGCTGGAGCAGTATGCTTGGTAATTAGTACCTTGCCTCATGGAATTGTTTCTGCTCCAGCGTCACCGGGTACATCAGCCACTTGGTATGTCGGCGCCCGTCCGCTCAATGGTTTGTGGTTTCCGATTTGCCGTCATGGTTTCAAGCTCGCCAAAAATTCAAACGCATACGTCTTGTTATCAATCTGTGACGTGATGTCGGGTACTGTGTACCTTCTTATTGGGGTGAAGTGCTTGCTTGGAGCAACTTGCCAGAAACGGTGTGCGTGATACAAAACCGCAGGAACGATAGGTACCTAAGGCAGGTAGTGCCTTCCGTGCTTCCTTAGGTATCCGTAGCTTCTGAACAATGGAATGTTGGTTCCTTCCATTTTTCATGATTGACCTGAGGTTGGGGTAGGTACGGAGTCGGGTAGGTAGGTACGTACTCAATACTGGAGTCATTGCAGCCTGTCTGCATTTTGCCTGCATCCTGAGGTGTTATTCACAAGCAACCCGTTCCTTCTCTTCAAATGTGATGCAACCAGGAACTACTCGTTACCTGCCGCGATTGAACTCGGCGAATTAGAAAACTTGTCCATCATGAAGGGGGAGGGGGGAGGGGGAAAAAGGAAGGCACCACATCACCAGACACATACAGTGTAGGTAAAGCAACTGACAATTGCATTGATACCCATCTCTGGCATCATGATCAGAGAATCACGAGAAGAAGAAAGGCATGCTACATTGACACAGCCAGTAGCGTTGCCCAAACAATGCCTGATGAATCCATCTCGCTTTATCCTCCCAGATAATTGTTGTGGTTGTTGTTATCGTTGTTATTTTGAACGAGACAGTTGCAACTTGCTGGCTGGCTACCAACCTTTGATTGTTATATCAGGTGCGGATACGTCGCCGCATTCTATCCATCACTTTCGTGCGCGCGTCTCTTTTTTTATTTTTATTCTTCGTTCCCCCGCTGCATATCCGTTCAAATCGTTTCTGACATTCGTAGCTATCTTACCTCACCTTACCTCACCTTCTCACCTCAAATCCTACCTGTACGGGGTTCCACCAAACGACATCCCAAACCGGCCAAGGCTGAACACTGTCCACTGTTCACCTGCCGCCGCCGCTCTTCGGGTTAAGAATTGAAAACTTTTTGCCCGCTGATTCATTCCTTTCCCCCCTCACCACGTCTCTAGACAGAAACACTAACGGTATGTTTACGCATCCATCTCACCTTTGCAATCCCTCCACATCCCCCCTCGTGTGCTGGACCGAGCGCATACCAGACAGCGTCTTGCTGGTCTCCCGTCGCCGGCTTCATCCTTGATCATTGCCCCTCCTACCCCGTTGATTGCCCTGCTGCCTCGCCTTTCCCCCTCCAGTCGTCCATACAGCTCAATCCACTTTCGTCAGCGCCTTCTCCTCAATCGGCCCAGCCCATCCCTTCGCCAATCTGTGGTCACTGGTCACTACTGCGCACACTAATTGTGTACGGAGTACAGAGTCCCGTGTGGTCTATCCATATCCTATCGTCGGATACTGGAATTTCCTTACTGCAAGTCGAGGCATCATTGGAACAGGGAAAAGGGGCGAGAGAAAGGCATCTCCATATCTCAATACTGGGATAGCTCGTGATACTGACTTGGAGCTAACTTGGAGGTCTGCCCAGTCGCTGTCATTTGATTCGCTTGAATCAGCATTCTCCAACTCCGACCGACGTCTCACGACGAACCGAGCCGACCAGAGCTTGCCCTTGTCCGCATCTCGGAGGGACGACAACGCTACCGGCATACCGTGACAATCGCCAATCCATTATCCACGCCATATCCCGACCCTCGTCTTGCGCATTGCGGATTGCGACTTGCCTCAATATTCCCATATCCTTACCTGAGCCTACCTTACCACGCGCAAGGAACCAGCCGCGACTAAACGATTCATCGAGGTCGGACCACTACTGTACTGCGTACGCTACGGTATTGCGATAGCGCACGAATACACTACTGCGTGATCTATCAACCTCGCACCACACACCAACAAAGGTACGTTCTCCGACGCGACGCCAGCACCAATAATCCAGGTACCCTACCCTGCCCTGCCTTGCCTTGCCTTACCTCACCTCACCTTACTGCATGCGTACGCTACCTTAGGTACTACGCTCCCTCGAGAGTACGTACCGTATCGCACCGCATAGCACCGCAACCCTCGCCTGCTTCTGTCTGCTGCTTTGCGCCGCTGGTGCTGTTGCCGCTGCCGCTGCCGCCGTCGACGCTGTTACCAACAAACCCCAACCAGCCGGTGGAATTGGAACTGCTTGCTGTGGCTCGCTCGCTCGCTCGTCTCCAACCCGTCCCTACACCCCTGTCCCCTTGTCGACCCCCTCCCACTCCCACTCCCACTCTCGCTGCCACTCAGTCCCCTTCCCCGTCCCATCCCGGCCAACCCAAGTTACGGCGGATACAGAGCTGGGTGGCTCGGGTTGGCGCGTGGAGGTAACGAGGGTTGACAGCCTCTCAGGAGAAGGGCGGGCTAGCCAACAGTCGGCTGTGCGCCTCCGCTCCGCTTCGCCTTTATCCCGGTATCATCCTTCTCCCTAACCCAAGCATCTAACACAAGCCCAGGTCCCAAGCTAGACCCGCCAGTCCAGTCAGTGTCTGTCATTTCTCCACACCTTTTGCCCATCCAAGAAGACGAAGAAGACAACAAGACGAGACGAGACGAGACGAAGGAAAGAAAGAGAAAAGCAAACCAAACAAGCCCGAGGGTCAAACAGGAGGTCATACGGCCTGTGTGCGCGCAATCGTCCTGTATTCATACATACACATACCTGAGTTGCCCATCTGGCTCCTATTGCACCCAACCCGCCCGCACCGATTCGCATCCGCAACGCGCGACCGTGTGCCAACCTGTCAGTTGCCAGTTGCCGGCTCAGCCCAGCCTACCTTAGCCCCGGCCAAGCCAAGGCAGAGAGACAGACGAAGAGAAGAGGGTGAGCGAGAGAAAGAGAGAGAGAGAAAAAAGAGAGCAGGGACAGACGGCACCCACCGCGAGCGACCCCTCCCCAGTCACAGTGCTGCGTTGGTGCTTGTTGCTGCCGCCGCTACTGATACTACCGCTGTCGCTGCTGCTACGTATTAACTGGCTTGTCGGGTCCAGTCCGGTCGATCCAATCCACCAGTCTGCTGAGGAGAGAGTCCACTGTCCACGTCCAGGGCTCGGGCTCCAAAATCCAACAAGATTTGGGCTCCTACCTTGCTCCCCAACTTCCTGCGGCCACCACCAGTCCACCACAACCACCATCATTCGGCCTCCACTAACCTACCACTTGCTGCCACCAACCTTGCCTACCTTACCTATCCGTACTTACCTACCTGTCTTACCCTTTTTTTTCTTACCTTGCCTATTCTATCATCGGCTCTCGACTGGCGTTCATCGTCTTTTCCTCCACCACCACCACCTTCACAACCACCGACGAACCACCACCACCACCACCATCCACCTCGCGTTCCGCCCCCCGCGAATCGCCCCTCTATCTCTGCTTCGCTTTGACTTTCGCTACTCATCATCAATCGAGCGGCTTAATTCAACGACAAAGATTCGACGTCTTCACATCGTTCTTCGCCTCAGATAGCTGCCCATCATGGCAGGAAAAATGGTGCTGTACAAGTTGGTGGTCCTGGGCGACGGCGGCGTGGGGAAGACCGCTTTGACAATTCAGCTCTGCCTGCAACACTTCGTGGAAACAGTAAGTCGCCATTTCTGTTCGTTTTACCTAGCATCGCATCGTCACTTTCTTTTCTTCGGTCGGTCGTCGACTCTCTCTCGACCCTTTCCCCCAAATCCATCCTTTCCCCGCTGCTATCGCCGCCAAGAGCCGCCCGCTGACCGTGCTTTTCTACCGAAAACAGTACGACCCCACGATCGAAGATTCGTACCGCAAGCAAGTTGTCATTGATGGGCAAGCATGCATGTTGGAAGTTCTCGATACTGCCGGCCAAGAAGAGTACACGGCCCTTCGAGATCAATGGATTCGAGATGGAGAAGGATTCGTTCTCGTCTACAGCATCTCATCACGATCTTCGTTTTCACGGATCAAGCGGTTTCATCATCAGATCCAGCGAGTCAAGGAGTCATGTGCATCCTCACCGTCATACCCGGGCTCGCCAATCTCTGCAGCCAGCCCACAAGCGCCTGTGCCAATCATGCTGGTCGGCAATAAGAGCGACAGAGTCACCGAGAGAGAAGTTTCGACACAAGAAGGACATGCCCTGGCCCGCGAGCTGGGCTGCGAATTCGTCGAGGCCTCAGCCAAGAACTGCATAAACGTCGAGAAGGCCTTCTATGACGTTGTCAGAATATTGAGGAGGCAGCGACAGGCCGCCTCGAGGCCGCAGCCCGGCGGACGAAGCAGCACTCGGCCTATCAATGGCGATGCCGGAGCGAGATACGACGACAAGGAAGGTGGCGACCGCTATCGTCGCAAAGTGGGCAGAAGGGAAGGGAAGAGTAAATGTGTCGTCTTGTGAGCTCGTCCGCAACCTCGACTTTTTATTCCCCCTCCCCCTTTTTATCGACGGACTTGTTCGGATCCACGGCAACACCCCCGATCCATTCGATTCGCAAATCCGACGGGCCCACTGCCGCGAGGCAAAAGCATTTTCCACGTCACGACTTGATGATTGCCAGCATTAGAGAAGCGCTGGCAAAGGCTTTCACAGCCACGACTATTGGACGTACGAGATCTCGAGTTCTGCTTTGAAGACGATTCGGACATTTTCCCCCATGTCACGGATGAACAACCAGCTCCTCATTGGGCGAACGGCGCACGAAAAGAGAGAGGCATATTCTGGGGCGTAGGTTTCTTGAGATTCAATCAAACCTTTGGGCAGACTGGGAGTTCATATTTTTTTGTTCATTCCAAACAACACATGAGGGCAAGCTGGCGGTGTTATAGGAGTCTTTCTTACAGACCTTTTTTTGACGTCTAGTCGGTCGCAAAAGAAAATGATGCCATGTATCTGCACACTTCCACTCCCGGATTGTTCATATGTTTATGATTTGGATTCCTCACATGGACCATTCATATCCGCGCACGCGAGCTGAGAAGGAGGTCTGCTTGGAGAAGGAGAGGCTGAAGGGCTGTGGCAGATGGGAGGAAGCTCTAATCTGTGTATACCGAAACAACACTTGTTTTCCTAGCTGCAGCTCACGGCTGGAAGTAGTCACTTTGGGGAGATAGCCACAAGAAGATATCAACTCTTCATCGGACGTAGATAGACATCCGGGATAGGCCTACTTGTTGCTCACTGAATCTACATTATCCGCCCATTCATCCTTAATTTTCCGATCGTCTTCTGCCAGACGCTTGATTTGTCGTGGCGGCGCGCCTTACCGGGAAACTTTACCACAAGTGGTCGTTGCTATTGACGAAAGAGGGTTGCTTGATGAACGAAAATCATGTATGTATCGGGGAAAGCTAACGTCGTATCTCGGAAACTATGTTGCTTTTTTCCCCCTTCCTTCCTGGACATGTCTTTGGGGGGGAGTTGGAGAGATGGTCTTGGAGGGGAGGGGAATATTCATGGAGAGCAAATGGTAGTGTACACACACTAAGGCAAGGGAGAGAGGAGAGGAGGACCGCTCTGGGCGCAAGACGTGCGCGCATCGCCTTCTCTGCCCGTCGTACCCCGCGATTTCCGCTCCCTCGGGACTTTATTCTTGGATGACGGATGGGAGGGAAAGGGGGGGGGGGGTGCGGTTTGTAGGAAAGTCGGACTTTTTTTTTTGGCAACGGTTTTTTGTTTTTGCACCTTCAGGGGCAGGCAAGGTAAAGGTCACTCACTCACTGTAAGGGAGGGGTGGCGAAGAAGCCAAGATGGATAGGAAGGGGGTATCAGGGTATCTACGGCAGCACGTCCCGGCAATGAGGAAGGGTGGATGATTAAGTGAAGCATAAGATTGTAGATGCGGAGGAGACGGGGGAGGCTAATGAGAGAGAGACGGGGTTTTGGGAGATGGAAATGCCGTCTTTTTTTTTTTCTTATTAAGGGACGGGCGTGAGGGGGCCGTATATGTTCCCGCATTCTTCCTAGACTGTTGAGATTGGTGGTTTAGGAAAGACTTACCGTTTGCGAAAGCCGGGTTCCCGGAGTTTTAAGTGGGCATAGAGGGAAGACGCCCGAATGGAGATATTACCTTGTCAAAGGGAAGCTTTGTATGTGAGTGTGTTGTGAATTTACGTTGAGGTGTTTGGACGGCTTGGCGTTCTTTAGCTCCTCTCCGGGGTTTGTAAGGTATCCGAAGTGTGCTTGCCCTTTTACCATTGTCTGATACCCAGCTAGCTTCTTTGGATCCTCTTGCAGTGAGTATGGTAAAGAGGGAGGGGGGGAGGGTGGTGCCTTTCTCCGGCATGGACGGGCGACGGAAAGGGGAGGATGGGTTCAGGGTTTGGGGGAAGGACACGGGAGGAAAGGAGGGGGGGGGGGGGGACAAAGGATGCTATTCGTACCTGAATGGTATATGTTGGGATGGGGGAGCAGGGTAAACGAGAGGGGATTCTGGGATCGGGGGGTTCTAGACCGATCCATGTTGAGATGCTTCGCTCTGTTAGACTCTACCCCGATAAAATTCCATATTGGCAGGTTTGTTCTATACTCTGTACTGCTTTTGTTGCTCTTTCTCAGCTAAATTTGGAGACCGATGATTAATCGAGAGGCGAAAAGAAGTGTAACCGGAAAAAGAAAAGGGGTGACGAAGAATGATCCAAAGCTCCGGTTCGATTAACATTTAGCTGATCATCGTCGGGGACGTTTCGTTTCTTTGCTTTTCCGCGAAGGGATTCATAAGCAAACAAGAGCAGGATTCAGATATGAAAGAAGAAAAGGCTCGTGGGATGTAGTAGCTTCGGACTTTGGGCCGTCTCCGCGCAAAGGAGGAATAAAACCAGACAAAAGCCACACTCGAGCTAGCTCCTGTGTTTCTTTTGTTGAGCGATGATAATGGCATTGTTCAACGCGCTCCCGTCCAAGGTGCGCTTTTACCTCCCCGGATGTTCTTGTTTCGGAGACGGGGAGAAGGAGGATATAATAGATACCTGCCAGGTACGGGCACATGCTTTTTTCTACTCTTTCCTGATGTGTTTCCAGTGGCGTTTAACCGCACGTTTGGTTTCTTTTTTACTAGCCTGAACGACCGAACGGTTTATGTGAAGTGGGTGGGTGGGAAGATGGTCGTTTGGAGGCAGAGTTCTGTCTGGATGTCTGTCGCGGGGAGAGAGGTCCAAGGCGAAGTTGTTCAATTCATGTGGGGTATGGTGTATGCGCACCCATTACGGAGTACATCTCTCGACACACCCTGTACACATACACACAGAGAGAGCAAGAGACCGACTGACGGAACGAACGGACTGTCTCTTGTTTTTTCTCTAGTCAATAGTGGCGCGCGCCGTAGGCTTGGCTTGTCTGTCAGACTACGTGCCGGGGAAAGGGTCCAGGTGCGGGAGGCTAAGGTAGTGTGAGTGAGTGAGCCAGTGTGTGTGTGTGTGTGGTGGATGTCTCTTTTTTGGGAAACTAGCGACGAACGATGGGCTGGCGCTTTTGCGGATGGGGTCCGTGGGAAAGGGTACTGTTTAGTATATGGTATACGGTGAACGATATACGGTAGAGCTCTTTTGCTCTCTCTTGCTTCTTCGTTCTTGATGAGTAGGACGAGCGGGTCGATGAGTATTCCTCCCCGAGTCCTGCTCAGTAAGACGTGGTTTATGCGTTCTCCTTTTTGGCGGTTCCCTGCGGTTTGGGTTCCCCGGGTTCGTTCGCGCGACTGTGTGAGTGGAGAGGGAAAAGTTGGGAACCAACGGCAAGCGCCTTGGCCCGATTAGCAAAGCCAGCCATGGATGGATGGGGAGGGGGGAAGTTGGAGAATCGATGGTTTCCGGGGGTGGAAAAAGGCAGGAAATTCTATTGTAGCTATCATTGGGTGGTTGGAGTTCTGTGGTAGGTTGGAGACCATTGATCCGCCGCCTGTTTGAGACTCGGGCGAAGCTGCAAGAGCCGAGGCGTGCTTGGTAGGTTTGAACTACACAATATCTTACCATTGAACGTGTGTGATACCATGGCGGGTGAGTTTGTGAGGGTGTAGACTAGGCTTCTGGTGATGAGCGGGTCTATCCGCCGAGCTTCTTTCTTTGTCGTTTGGTAGTTTCGAAACCATGGTTTGACGATTCTGTGGACGGGAGTCAAAATCACAACCCTGTGAGGCTGGATGGTTGTCATGGGGTGATGGGTGTCGAGGGCAATAGTCTTGGCTTTCTCCTCTTCCTTTCTCCGACCTACCCGTGAGTGAGTTCGGGGGAAGTAGAGTGTACTGACGTAAGGATGAGGGTGGTGATGAACACTGCATGTAAGGGCTACCTTAGTCTACGTGATTTCCCTCGCCTCAAGCACACTACCTAAGCTACGTTTGATGGCATGGGGGAGGGGCGTTTGCGAGCGGGAACGGGTTTGTTCGATAAGCAACTCTGGGCGCGAAGTCTATTGCGAGATGGGATGATCATCTTTGCCCTACGCGCTGTTCCAGTGACCAGTGTTTATATGTGTGTGATCCTGCTAGCCAGCATAAGATTTGCGCGTTGGTGTTTTTTACCTTTCGACGATGCGGCTTTCTTTCCCCGGTCTGATGTCATCGTCCAGGGTATCAAGTTCTGATGACAACCCACGTTCCTAACGGAGGCACTTGAGAGGTCTATACAATTCCTCTCTCCGTGTGAATGAAGGGCGCCTTGAACTATCCGGTTCTGGCAGGGTTGTGATGTTTCTACATGCGACATATGATATGATGCCAAGTTGCGTGATGCTCGGTATTGATTTGGGCTATATGAAGTAACTTCACAATAACTCAGGTCCCAATTTGCTCTTCCAGTCTGTTTCTTACTGGTGCGCCGATCTTCACTCAGACAAGCGGGGCAAAAGACGTAGCCAGAGACAGAGGCTCTGTGCGCGTTCTTTTGAGGAGAGAGCAACCTCGGGTCTTCTTCTATGCATGGTCCACGGCATTTGCTCGTGTCTTTTGAAGCCTCGGGTTGGAGTAAAAGAGCCAGTAAGCTGGATCTCTCTCTCTCATGTCGTTCGTTCTTTCGCTCCACAATCACATTCCCAAGGGAGGGGAGGGGGGGGGTGTTTCTTCAACGACTAACGGATTCTTGCAGCGCATTGCATGCCATTGCAACCCTCCCCTCGTCCATATCGCAACCTCTTTTGCTTTCGCAGCGCAATGGCCAACACACCTGTTCTGCTTTCTCTCACGCGCTAAAGGGCCTTCTCAAACTGTTACTGCAATACGTTCGTACTACCTTACTTTCCCAAAGGCGATGGTCCGAAAGAGGGATTTCTTGTTCCCAGTTTTGCTGCATGCAGGAAACAGGACGGACCGCCAGCTCCAAAACCCCTCATCGAACACGGACCTCTCAACGGACCTTTCGCCTTTTCTCTCGCAATCTCTCACACGCAGAGACACGTTTCTCTCAAGTCTCTCTATTCGTTTTGTATAAGCTAAGGTACGCAAAGGGCCAAAGAGAAAGAGGGGAAAAGGGCACATCATTAACTCATGGGTAAACTTCCCCTCAAGGGTCTTCCCCCCTCTCCCCTCTTATGCCGGCACTGCTCAGGCAGGAGGAGGGGCATCTCGGTGCTCCATGCAGAAAGAGGGCATTTACTGGAGATGGTTTTGACAAGAGAGAAAAAGGAGACCCCCTCTCAAGTTACGGCGAGCGGAGCTCCAACATGACATGTCTTTTTGGGATGGGCGCACGCACGAATACAGCGAGAAAACCACAAAACACGACTCAAGGACCCTGCTGGAATTCAAGGTGGCCAGTTTGGATACTAGTTTCCACCGACACATACTCTCCCATCCTACGTATGCATAGCGAGGAAGTGGTTGGCATTCTCTTTGACAGGGCACAGTCTTGAACAGCCGCGGATACACATGTTCGCATACAAGGAAGGGAAAAAAGTGACTGACCTGGTCGTTTTCCGCAATAGAGGAGCATTGAGAAACGGAGAGACACCGAGGTATTGAGAGGACCAGACGTCAAGAGAGTCCGAGCCCCACGGAAAACGGGAGCTGGACCCGGCATCCAGTCCGTGCACCCGGAGGAGGGGCCGGGTACCATTCTGACAGTTTGGGTCGTTTGCTGATCTTCCCTCTTAGCACTGGTCGGCTCGTAATGGACCGGGGGAGGGGGGTTTCGAGCAGCAATGAGGAGTAACAGGGACGGGAGAGGAGGAGAGGAGAGTGAGAGAGAGCGACGGAAAGGAAGAGATGCATGTCGT